TCCCCGGGGACAGCCCCGCCGTGGGGAGGGAGCGCGCCGGCCCCCGCGCTCGAAACCCGCCCGTACCTCCGCTTCATCTGCGCTTAGTTTTGTCTTACTCAATTTCCGGGAAAAAGATATCAGTAAATCCGTGCACGTGGGAAGGGCAGGGGAGGGGAGGAAACCGGCTGATGATCAATAACCCACGGTCAATCCAGTGCTCCAGGATATGCCATTTGGGCAGGACTAGGGAGAGTTCAAGGCCAGTTTGGCTACGCGGCCTCAGATGCCATTGGTGGGATCCGAGCACGTTTCCGAGCGCGTTTAGCGTTACACACGCGATTACCTTGAATGCCCCCGGGGATCCCGGCGGGTGCGTGCTGCCGTCCTCCACGTACTTCTCTCCCGGACAGCGGCAGGCCCAGAGCTTCAGGTGCTTGTTCTGGGGAAAGCTGTCTTCTGACCCCGAAGCCTGTGGTGTTCAACTGGACAGTAGCTAGTAGCTTCCCCGTAAGGCACACGCCACGACGCGCAATATTCTGCGGCCCTTTAGGAGGACGTTGCCGAATGGTGTGTATCGACACCGAGGTGTTTGCAACACACTGAGAAAAAGAAAAGCGAGTGCTAAAATATATGCCCATTACAAAAATGTGTGTGTAGCCGGGCGCGGTGACTCACGCCTGTAATCCCAGCACTTTGGGAGGTTGAAGCGGGTGGATCGCCTGAGATCAGGAGTTTGAGACCAGCCTGGCCAATATGGTGAAACCCCATCTCTACTAAAAATACAAAAAATCAGCCGGGCGTGGTGGCGCATGCCTGTAATCCCAGCTATCAGGGAGGCTGAGGCAGGAGAATCGCTTGAACCCAGGAGGCTGAGGTTGCAGTGAGCCGAGATCGCCCCACTGCACTCCAGCCTGGGCCACAGAGTGAAACTCAGTCTCAAAAAAACAAAACAAAACAAAACAACTATGTGTGTGCGTGTGTCTGTCTATCTGTATGCATAGAAACGGATTTGGAATAGTAACCACCAAAATATTAATGGTTGTTGTCTTTGGGTGATGAGGATTTTTTCAACTTTCTTCTTTTCTGATCATATTTCGTTTCCAATTTTTTTGATAATTATTTGAAACTGGGATCAGCTTTGATCCCATCATTTTTGGAAGAGAAAATGATTTTCACAGAGCTTGGTGGATCCAAAAGTTTCTCTGAGTTTGACCACGGGGAAAATTTCTTTTGGAAATTTCAGGATGCTTCTGGGACTAGCATCTAAGGCTTCTGCCTAATCAGGACCACTTTTTTTTTTTTGAGATGGAGACTCTGTCACCCAGGCTGGAATGCAATGGTGCGATCTCCGCTCACTGCAACCCCGCCTCCCAGGTTCAAGCTATTTTCCCACTTCAGCCTCCCAAGTAGCTGGGATTACAGGCACCTGCCATCATGCCCAGCTAATTTTTGTATTTTTGTAGAGACGGGGCTTCACCATGTTGGGCAGGCTGGTTTTGAACTCCTGACTTCAGGTGATTTGCCGGCCTCGGCCTACCAAACTGCTGGGATTACAGGCATGAGCCACTGGGCCCGGCCTTAATTAGGACCTCTTAACAAAGCCCTGCTTACAGAAGACGCGATCCCACCTCAAAGGTGCAGGGTGGAGGAGGATGGAAGAGCAGCAGGCACGGTCAGTGTCGGTATCTTGGGGTCTCTGAAATGTTGACTGTTGACTTTCTTTTCTCCTTCATTCTACCGTCCCTCCCTCCCTCCCTCCCTCCCTTCTTCCCTTCCTTCCTTCCTTTCCTTCTTTCTTCTCTTTTTCTCTCTCTCTCCTGCTTTTTTTTTTTTACTTTCTTACTTTCTTGCTTTTTTTTTTTTTTTGACAGAGACTCTGTCACCCAGGCTGGAGCGCAGTAGCGCGATCATGGCTCACTGCAACCTCTACCTATTGGTTCAAGTGATTCTCATGCCTCAGCCTCCCAAGTAGCTGGAATTACAGGTGTGAGCCACCACGCCCAGCCAATTTTTGTATTTTTAGTAGAGACGGGATTTCGCCATGTTGGCCAGGCTAATCTCGAACTCCTGGCCTCAAGTGATCTGCCCATCTCGCCCTTCCAAAGTGCTGGGATTATAGGCATGAACCACCGCACCTGGCCCTGAAATGTTGACTTTCATCTCCACCCAGCAACTGCAACTCTTTCAGACCCAGAATCCCACTGCACTTGGAGCGGTTCAGCAGCGGAGGCAGAAATATCTTCATTTGCCGGCTGCTCCACCCATGGGCTCCTGTGCTATGCGTCTGAAACTGGCACCTGCTCTTTTTTGACAATTTGTTTGTCACATGTTTGTTCTCTCGTTCCTCTTCCCCCACCTCCCCCACCGCCCATAGTTTCGAGTTAGGAAATTGTGTGTTCAGATGCCTTGATCCTTCAAGAGACATTTTGTGACTACGCGCTTGGCCAAGTTGGATCTTTCAAAACCTTAAAAAAATATGTCATCTATAGATGCTGATCAGAAAATCTCAGCCAGTTGCCATGACCTTGCCTCTACTTAGGTCCTCAATATATGGCTTCAATTTCTTTCAGGTATCTCAAATACTGACAATTCAACCATTCTGGAATAAAATGAATATATCTCTATTGATATCTCTTTATCCCAAACATCCGGTTGCATGAATCTTTATTGAGTCTTTGTTATATAGTGGCACTGCAGTTTACATATAGTATTTAATCTTCACAACAACCCTATGTGGATATTATTATTAATATCCCCTTTTAACAGATGAAACTGGGAGAGGTTATATTCCTTGCTTAGGTCACACAGCTAACTATAGTGACAGGGCTGCGATCTGGAACTCAGTCTGTCTGTCCTCAAAGCTTGTGGTTTTAAAACTTCTGCTACCCAGGCTCTTACTTTCTTAAGGGCAAACAAGAACAAACCTCCCCGGTCTTAATCACTTCCTGATTTGCAAAGGTCATGGCGCTAACCTCTCAACGCTCCTGAGCGAAACGGTGGGCGCGCTGGAGAGCCAGCTTCCTCTTTGAGTTGGAATATTAGGTATGAAGCAGTGGTGCTGATAAATGTTTCACAACTGGTTGGGGGTTTAGGGGATGGGGTAAAAGTCCTGCTTTCTTGTGTTTGCCAACCTTCGTGGTGTGAGTATCCCCACTGTGGCTGACTTGCAGCTAGCAAATGTGAGGTCACTGAACACAGAGATAAGAAGAAATGTGGCCAGGCGCGGTGGCTCATGCCTGTAATCCCAGCACTTTAGGAGGTTGAGGCGGGCAGATCACGAGGTCAGGAGATCGAGACCAACCTAGCTAACATGGTGAAACCCCGTTTCTACTAAAAATACAAAAAAATTAGCCGGGCGTGGTGACGGGCGCCCGTAGTCCCAGCTACTCGGGAGGCTGAGGCAGGAGAATGGTGTGAGCCCAGGAGGTAGAGCTTGTAGTGAGTCGAGATCGTGCCACTGTGCTCCAGTCTGGGCGACAGAGAGAGACTCTATCTCAAAACAAACACAAACACAAAAACAAAAAACGAAAAGGAAGAAATGTGCACAACTGGCTCCTGAGCCTGTACGAGCCAACTCCGGCACACCACTGGGTGGAAGAAGCCGATTTCCTTCACTGTTGGAGGACCCAACATCTGTTGCACCACAACTGAGCTTTTCTATATTTAGAACAAACCATATCACAACCCCTAAGGGCCTGTGGGGCTCATGTTAAAAGTCTCTGGTCCTCGGCTTGAGGCTCAAAATCTCTTACGCAGCTGTTAAATGTTTTCACAATGCAGCCTCC